CATCTGCTGTGTAAACAGAGCATACTAGGAGGGCGCCAGGGCACAACAATTACGTGCAGACACACACGTACAACCACCGGACCGACCGAGAGCAGACAGTGTACAGGCCCATCGAACCCCACGGGTACATTCTAATACACTGTGGGGGAGAAACAGATGAAGGAATGAGCAGTTAATGCATTTCAGGGGCGTTTTTAGTTCGAGCGTGTGTTTAGTTCGGTTTCAAGGTCATCTGGGTGGTAGCTGGAGATTAGGCAACATAAACCGCCAGAAAAGGCATATCACAACGTCACACCGAGCCTATACTCACACTCCTGACGCTTTTTATAACTGACAATTCAAGTAAACTAAAAACCAACATTTTTAAGGTACATTAGTCTCTTTTATTCGTTTCCGACATATAGTACAAGACCGCGCGGCGGGGAATTGGAGCAAGAGAAGCCCAGTTAGCAACAAGTAAAAGTAACTGGTCGAGGTATGTATGGGTCGAATTCTAAGATGAATCGCCTTCGACCATTACTTGACGTAAGGAGGCTTGGCCCCACATGTCAATGTAACGTAAAGACGTGCCCCTATCATTATACTAGCCATGGAGTCAAACTACCGATGCCACAACGCACCTGACATCAAACTAATCGGCCCACTGTGTTATAATTCGCACCCACCAACGTGTCTGCACATGCCCACCCAACGTGTTCTCCTAAGCAGCACACACACGTGGTACGTGCACAGCAGCGACAGGCGCAAACGCACGCACTTTTATACTGCTATACTACGAGCAACGCAACAGTACACGGCACACCGTGTTACGTGCCCAACGCATGCAACGTTAGCGCCACGCACCACGTGTACTGCGCAGCGCAGGCACGACCACGTACGTGCACACGCACCAAACACATGACGTGCAGATCAGCTTTCCTCCAGATGTTTTTTTCACCTCTACTTGGCGACTATGATACGTTTCTCATTTACGGTTATTCCCTTCGTACTAGACCGCTATGTTTAGGCAGATACGACAAGTGTCAGCCGCCATCTAATCCAGCGATAGTAGAATGGTGAATCCCCAACCGAGTTTATAATCTACTCTCAGTGTTATATGTAATTGTGCCACGGCCATCAAGTATACGAAACAATAACAGGTGACAAATAAATAAATAATCAACGCAAGCTTGTGAAATTACTCATAACACGTCTATTCATATATCTAACAAATCGAATAATGTTTTTGTTTCCGTACTAGATTCCCGCGGATCCAAACGCAGACAGCAGAAACCAGTTTTACAGTACATAGGCACACGCCATCCTGTATAGGGGCGGAATCGATCAGAACGTGACGAAGGACTGGCGTAGCACAGGACTGACGGACCGTGGAATGGATTTTGTTCGCGAAACAGCAGCGTAGTAGTGTTTGTTAGGCATAGATTATTAGAAAATAACAGAGCAGATCCACACTGCCAGTGCTGGAAATTCTATAGCCGATAATTATATTCTTTCATTCTCACAGCTTTCCATAGTCATAGCAACACTGTAATAATAAGTCGCAACGAGGCGCAAAATTAATGCACTTATAATATTTAATGTAATATGCTAAAGCGTATAAGTGTCACTTTCCGGCAGGATGAAGCGCGAGTGATTGAAGTGTGTTTGTGTTGCGTGCATGCGTGCGTGCGTGCGTGGCGCGGTGTGTGTGCGTGCGTGCCGCACGTGCGTGCTTGTATGTGTGCATGTGTGTGTGTGTGTGTGTGTGTGTGTGTGTGTGTGTGTGCGTGCGCGTGCGTGTGTATGTGTGTGTGTGTGCGCGCGCGTGCGCGCGTGTGTATATGTGTGTGTGTATGTGAGAGAGAGAGAGAGAAAGAGTGGGTGAGTGAGTGAGTGAGTGTCTGAATGAGTGAGTGAGTGAGTGAGTGAGTGAGTGTCTGAATGAGTGAGTGAGTGAGTGAGTGAGTGAGTGTGTGTGTATGTGAAAGAGAGAGAGTGGGTGAGTGAGTGAGTGAGTGAGTGAGTGAGTGAGTGAGTGAGTGAGTGAGCGAGCGATCGCGTAAGTGAGTGAGTGTGCGAGTGAGTGTGCGAGTGAGTGAGTGAGTGAGTGAGCGAGTGGAGTGAGTTGAGCGAGCGAGCGCGTGAGTGAGTGAGTGAGTGAGTGTGGCGAGTGAGTGACGAGTGAGTGAGTAGAGCGAAAGCGTGAGTGAGTAAGTGAGAGTGAATGAGTGGCGTGCGTGCGTGACGTGCGTGCCGTGGCGTGCGTGCGTGCTGAGTGAGTGAGTGAGTGAGTGCGCGCGTGAGTGAGTGTGCGGGCGTGAGTGAGTGAGTGAGTGGCGGCGCGTGAGTGAGTGCGCGCGTGAGTGAGTGAGCGAGCGAGTGAGTGAGTGAGTGCGTGCGTGAGTGGGTAGAGCTCCCGGGTAGAGCTATAGCTTAGTTTACCTGTCTAGATCGACTTTGCTGGTGTCGATGTCGTACAGCCCTTGCCGGATGTCATCAATAGTTAACATGATGCAACGCATCTTCTCCTCGACCACGTGACTCCTCTCATCCGTCAGTATTTTCACTGTCTGCAATAAATAGATAGATATAAGTAAATAGATAGATATACGTAAATAGATAGATAGATATAATAAATAGATCGATATACTGTAAATAGATAGATATACGTAAAATAGATAGATATGCATAAATAGAAGATAGATATAAGTAAATAGATAGATATACGTAAATAGATAGATAGATATAAGTAAATAGATAGATATACGTAAATAGATAGATAGATATAAGTAAATAGATCGATATACGTAAATAGATAGATATATACGTAAATAGATATATATGCATAAATAGATAGATTATATACGTAAATAGATAGCTACACGTAAATAGTATATATCGTAAATAGAATATATATAGCGTAAATAGATAGATATACGTAAATAGATAGATATACGTAAATAGATAGATAGTAAGTAAATAGATAGCTCCACGTAAATAGATAGATATACGTAAATAGATAGATATACGTAAATAGATAGATATACGTAAATAGATAGATATACTTAAATAGATAGATATGCATAATAGATAGATATACGTAAATAGATAGATATGCATAAATAGATAGATAGATATAAGTAAATAGATAGATATACGCTAAATAGATAGATAGATAATAAGTAAATAGATAGATATACGTAAATAGATAGATAGATATAAGTAATAGATCGATATACGTAAATAGAATAGAATATACGTAAATAGATAGATATGCATAAAATAGATAGATATACTACGTAAATAGATAGCTACACGTAATAGATAGCTACACGTAAATAGATAAAATATACGTAAATAGATAGATGTGCGTAAATAGATAAATATACGTAAATAGATAAATATAAGTAAATGGATAGATATACGTAAATAGATAGCTATACGTAAATATGATAGCTATTCGTAAATAGATAGATATACGTAAATAATAGATATACGTAAATAGATAGATATACGTAAATAGAATAGATGTGCGTAAATAGATAGATATATACGTAATAGATAATATACGAATGTAATATACGTAAATAGAAGATATACGTAAATAGATAGATATACGTAAATAGATAGATATACGTAAATAGATAGATAAACGTAAATAGATAGCTACACGTAAATAGATAGAATGCATAAATAGATAGATATAACCAGGAGTAGATAATAGGGACCGCTATTATCCACTCCTGATATATACGTAAATAGATAGCTACACGTAAATAGATAGATATACGTAAATAGATAGATATACGTAAATAGATAGATATACGTAAATAGATAGATATACGTAAATAGATAGATATACGTAAATAGATAGATATATACGTAAATAGATTAGATAGACGTATAGATATACGTAAATAGATAGATATACATAAATAGATAGATATACGTAAATAGATAGATATATACGTAAATAGATAGATATACGTAAATAGATAGATATACGTAAATAGATAGATATACTAAATAGTTATAGATATAGTAAATATATGATATGCCTAAATAGATAGATATATACCAGGAGTAGATAATAGCGGACCCTATTATCTACTTCTGATTATACTATTAGTACACCTGTACATTTCACATATTGGCTATACATTACTTGGCGGCTTCATCGATATAATAGTTTATTAATAAATAATAAAATAATAGTTAACTTATAATAATTTAATTGCTGTATTTTTTTGGCACCGACACAAAGCTTCCTCTGCACGCCGAACAGGTACGGTACATTAATCCAAAGTACAGGTACAGGTAAGAAAAAAAAAAAAAAAAAAAAGTGAAGGGGGCATTGCCGCACGCGTACAGGAACGCACACACGTGGAACAAATTCACGTACACACACACACGTGTAAGCAAACAAACAAATACGCATTGCCGCACGCGTACAGGAACGCACACACGTGGAACAAATTCACGTACACACACACACGTGTAAGCAAACAAACAAATACGCATTGCCGCACGCGTACAGGAACGCACACACGTGGAACAAATTCACGTACACACACACACGTGTAAGCAAACAAACAAATACGCATTGCCGCACGCGTACAGGAACGCACACACGTGGAACAAACTTTGGATAATGAATAGATTTTATCGAAGAATCCTCAGATATCACGTAACAACATTAAAGGGAACTAGCAAGGCCTATTTTATTCAATTTGTATCAAATTATTTGTAAATTAAAATGGCGATGTAGTTATGTTATTATTATATAAAACTGTGTTTCTATATCGATTAGTGTGTTTGGATTTCAATCGGTACAGATGTCCCTACTATATGAACCACTATTGTGATTTTTAAACCATATAACCATTGTATACAGGCGTACAATTTAAAGCTGGATAGATTATTATCAAATTATTTATAAGATTATTTATGTGCTTCAGATATTTCTAACCCAATTTACTTGTAAATTGACTTACAAATCTCTTCTGTCTTTTTTGCTGCAGGAAGGATTCCTTTGGGGCAGTCAGAACAGTTTTTGTACGAGCTCCATCAGATATGCCACTTTCCCGACAGAATGGAATGTTGGCTCTACACAAGAAAGTTCATGGATACCATGTTTGCCATAGGTATAAAAAAATATATGTGCCTACAAATGATTGCCTCATATACACATACGACAAATCTATACATTTGTGATCTTTTATTACGAAGGGTATCTTTATTACTGTGGTACTGTGACAGCGAGGGGACGTTTAATATATCTTTTTAATGAGGAGCTAGTCCGGTGAATGCAGGGGGGTTGGATGGGTATACCCGCGGTTGGAGGTTACATGTAATCTTATTCAAAATTTGGCATCACCCACCGCGCAAATCTTGTTAGCTTATAAGTGAGCACACTGAAATAATGCAAAATATGGCTCGTGTTGTACATAATATCAAAACGCCTAGACGGTCTAGTAATTTTCAATCTATTTTGTTTCTAGAGCAGATAATGTCACTGACGATCCATAGGCGTTAGTAATTACAATGTATCTAATTGTTTCTCTCTCTCTCTCTCTCTTTCTCTCTCTTTCTCTCTCTCTCTCTCTCTCACACTCGTAACTACGCACCAATTACGAGGGAGCAATTTCCACTACGCGGTCGCAAAAATGTGCGATTTATCTCGAAAATGAACCCAACGATAATATATCCCATAAATGAAGCTAGTGTCGTACGTTGAAAGGCGAGAGTGATTCGTCAAGGTCATCACACTGACCACGCTTCGCTGGCAGGGCAATGATCAGTCATCTCACCGTGTGTGCCACCGTCGTACCTGTATAACCCCACACTGTTAATGGATGACTACCTGCACTGTATGTGGGACGAGGTAACTCAAGTATGATTGCCCCCACGAAAATAATAGGCGATTAGAGAGAATCGCACAGACGAAACGATGTGAGTAGTTTTGAGCTGAAGTCGTTTAAATTCAAATTAAGTCACATTGAAAAAAGCATCGGTACGCGTGAAAGTTTCTTCGTGCTTGTGATGTCAGCGACTAGCTTCGTTCACACGAGACTAGATCGAGATTTAGTTGGCATGAGCGCGAAAGACTTAACGGAAAGATTTCACTTGCTTCGCGAAACGTGCTAACTCGGTTACCCAGTGAACTTTTAGCAACGCTTCGCCGAACGCACATCAAGTAGCCCACGGCCGTGTTTTTAATCTGCTAGCCTTAATTACCATTTAATAATAAACAGTGGAAAACCGTTCGCGAAATCAATCTATTATGTTCTTCTCTGCTAACTGGAGGAGTAAGCGCGAATAATTGCTCGAAAGGCCCACTCAGGTTGAAAACATATTCAGCAAAACACAATAGTTTAAAAAAAATTACTCATAAGTGGGCGAATTCCAGCATAATGACAGGTTGTTTCGCTATGCGGATGGAAATGTCTGCTTTGCCGATTTTTCGATTGATTTAACGAGCAGCTATGGTTATAGAATTAGCAACATAATCTCGTTGCTCGGCGATATGTGTAAATTCCAGCCAACGCCGCCACACACTAATAATTGTATGCGCAGCGAAGCTAGAACCAGTTTCTAGTACACATCGCTATACTCACCTGTCCCAAGCCACGAAGATAGCACACTCATTTACACATGTGGCTCGTTGTGCCACGTTTTATGAATTCTTCATATCGGATAGGTCGTGTACGAGTAGAGTTCATAGCAATTCTCATTATATTAAGTATTCGCTCCCGGTATCGGCGCGTAGAGCCTAGAGTCTCATTTTAATTTGTATAGTCGAGATGCGTACGTACCGGCATAATCGTGAGGTACGACGTCACCTTTCAGTGACCTGCTGTTATCACCTCTTTAAATACCGCTTTTATATTCTACTAACCTATTGTTATTTAACAGGCTAACAGTTCTTCAAACCATGTAAACTGACTAGGTAGTTATATCGGGATGTATAAAAATATACATACACGGAAACGACGCGCTATAGTACCAGCACGTACGAAGTGCATTCATTTGAATAAGACACTGCTTGTAAGCGGCACAATCGGTGTATTATAACGCGAATCAAGACCCATCTGCATTTACTAAGTGATAACTTATTATTGTAATACAAAACTCTCGTATTATATGTAATTGCAGATATCATACATTCACAATCATCCTCGTAACGTTTTCCCGAGCGGATAGCGATGTCTATTTTGTGCGAGGAATTCGAAATATTAAAGGGAATCGAAATATTAAAGGGAATCGAAATATTAAAGTGTTTAATAAAAGAAAAAGGCCAGACAACAGCACTGGTTGACCGTATCTTGATCTATACCCTAATATTAATCGTAATCGGGAAAGCGAATATCGGCAGATTGCGACAATTAAATAGGTATCGGTTCCACCGTTGAAGAAATAGAGCGTTGTTGTGTCGCAGTTGGGTGCTCCGACACAGAGTAAACATTATTCTCCCTCGGCGAATGTGTGAGCTCAGTGTGCTAAACCTCTGAGCCTACACGCGAGATGGACTAACTATCGCGAACACTGCGCCGGAAGTGAGCAATTGACATAATCATCGTCAATAGAACGAAATAACGTCTTATTGTTGCGCGAAGATGATTCATACAAATTTGCTCAAGTTGTCATCACCAACGCGCGCATGATGCTCGCTTATTTACTCCCACGTACGTCTAAGTACATATCCGGCTGTTAGCGCGGTTAGGAACACACGGACGCACGCACACACGCGCGCGCGCACGCACGCAAACAAATACGCATTGCCGCACGCGTACAGGAACGCACACACGTGGAACAAATTCACGTACACACACACACGTGTAAGCAAACAAACAAATACGCATTGCCGCACGCGTACGAGGACGCACGACACGTGGGAACAAACTTTGGATAATGAATAGATTTTATCGAAGAATCCTCAGATATCACGTAACAACATTAAAGGGAACTAGCAAGGCCTATTTTATTCAATTTGTATCAAATTATTTGTAAATTAAAATGGCGATGTAGTTATGTTATTATTATATAAAACTGGTGTTCTATACGATTAGTGTGTTTGGATTTCAATCGGTACAGATGTCCCTACTATATGAACCACTATTGTATTTTTTAACTATATAACCATTGTATACAGGCGTACAATTTAAAGCTGGATGATTATTATCAAATTATTTATAAGATTATTTATGTGCTTCAGTTATTCTAACCCAATTTACTTGTAAATTGACTTACAAATCTCTTCTTTCTTTTTTGTTGCAGGAAGAATTCCTTTGGGGCAGTCAGAACAGTTTTTGTACGAGCTCCATCAGATATGCCACTTTCCCGACAGAATGGAATGTTGGCTCTACACAAGAAAGTTCATGGATACTATGTTTGCCATAGGTTAAAAAAATATCTGCCTATAAATGATTGCCTCATATACACATACGACAAATCTATACATTTGTGATCTTTTATACGAAGGGTATCTTTATTACTGTGGTACTGTGACAGCGAGGGGACGTTCAATATATCTTTTTAAGGCGCAGCTAGTCCGGTGAATGCAGGGGGTTGGATGGGTATACCGCGGTTGGAGGTTGTAATCTTATTCAAAATTTGGCATCACCCACTGCGCAATGTCATTTTCAGTCTATTTTGTTTCTAGAGCCAGATAATGTCACTGACGATCCATAGGTTCTAGTAATTACAATGTATCTAATTGTTACTTTATGCTAGGGCCACGAGCGTATTTTTATCGCCCGATCGCGGGCGATTAAAATCGCCAGCGAAGTTAATCGCCCGATCACGAAGGGCACACGTAGCGAATTTAATCGCCCGATTTAACATCACATGATATCAACAACACGTCGATTGGTTTAGAAAAATCGATCGGGCGACAAAATACGCCGGACACGGGCACACGAGCGAATTTGCAGCAGTAAATAATCGCCGGCGTAAATAATCGCCCGAAATATCTAACATTTTGGATACGGGGCGATTCGTGCGGGCGATTAAAATCGGCGTCGACGTGAACGGGCACACGGGCGGCGAATTTTTCGAGCGATTTTGAGAATTCGCGGCGATCGGCGATAAAAATCGCTCGTGTGCCCCTACCTTAAAGACGTCCCTTAACCGTGCGTGTGCGTGTGTGTGTGTGTGTGTGTTGTGTGTGTGTGTGTGTGGTGTGTGTTGTGTGTGTGTTGTGTCGTGCGTGCGTGTGTGTGTGTGCGGCGTGGGCGTGTGTGTGTGTGCGTGCGTGCGCGCGCGCGTCGGGCGTGTGTGTGCGTTGTGGTGTGTGTGTGTGTGTGTCGTGGGCGTGGGCGTGTGTGTGTGTGGTGCTCGTGGTGTGCGTGCGTGCGCGTTGCGCGCCGCGCGTGGGCGTGTTGTGTGTGCGTGCGTGCGTGCGTGTGTGCGCATGTGCGCGTGCGTGTGTGTGCGTGTGTGTGCGCGTGCGTGTGTGTGTGTGTGTGCGAGCTGACCTCACATGGTGATGCTCATGGTGATCTCCGCTCATTTCATTTACGTGCTGTTTTGTTTCCGAGCTGTAGATTAGTTGCCTGCAAGCATATACCATAATGAGAAAGTAATTGTTCTCTACAAACCTATCTGACCCTAATTGAGATGTACTTTACCGCGGTCATTTTATTCACTGTACTCTTACGTTTTATATATTTCGTTTTTTTCCTCTTTTAAATCCATTCATCTAATTTCTATTGATGATCCTCTTCAATAGTTAGCACATGTCATCAGAAGCAATGTAAACTACAGTTAAAATAATATAAACTACAGGTTAATATCAAACTTAACAGTTAATATAAACTACAGTTATATAAACTACAGTTAATATACTGTAAACTACAGTATAATATAACTACAGTTAATATAACTAGCAGTTATATTAACTACATTAATATAAACTACAGTTAATATAAACTACAGTTAATATAAACTACAATTAATATAAACTACAGTTATAATAACTACAGGTTAATATAAACTACAGTTGATATAAACTTACAGGTTAATATAAACTACAGTTAATATAAACTACAGTTGATTGATAAACTACAGTTAATATAAAACTACACAGTTAATATAATAAACTACAGTTAATTATGAAACTACAGTTGATATAAACTACAGTTAATATAAACTACAGTTAATATAAACTACAGTTAATATAAACTATCATTGAAACTATACAATTAATATATATATATAAACAGGGTGCGTGCTCTTTATATCATGTATTTATGAATATAAATTACGAATATAATATAACGCTCCCATTTCTTTTGCAGACGACAAGCTAAATGGTATAAGGCGAGCTTGCGAGGAATTGCGAGACTGGTACGATATTTATCACCGTCATTATTATTTAGGATTAATTATTAATAATTACCGCCTATAATTAAGAATAGATCTTCATAACCAATACCTATCCAACATGGCAGTCATCCAGCTTAAACATCGTGTTGTTTCATCAAGCATTAAATAAACCGAAACTTGGCTTGCCTTAAGATTCCTCGCAGATTTTCTAAGAAGCTATTGGGATGATTCAGAAACGCTTATCCGTAAGAATAACATTTTACGCGTCGATGTGCTTCGCTTGACGGTTATAAACGTCGGGTCGTTGCAGTGATGCGCTGCATACTATACTGCGGCTGGTGCTAAGTTTCGGCAACTATATGAACGGGTCGACGCAGCGCGGACAGGCAGACGGGTTTCAGCTCGACATCCTAAAAAAGCTCAAAGGAGTCAAGTGTACATTTACGGTAAGTACTTACTGCCGATTATTAGCTTGTGCTTTTGTGCATGGCTGCTTGGCGCTTGCATAACCAGGTTGTGATAGCGGCGGATCCGGGAATCGTCCGAATCCGACTGTTCGGATCTCGTTTCATCGCGTTATAGATTAGTCAGTACCATAAATGTCATTTTGGTGATAACGGGAATTTTTTTTACAGCGCGAGGCTAATGCAGCTATGACACGGATAAAGCGCGCCAATGTTTGTTTGTTTGTTTGTTTGTTTGTTTGTCTAAACTTTGCAACACCTCCGGGTGCATCGCACTTAATCGGTTTCACGTACAATTTACAATTATAGATTTTAGCCAAGGTCACGTAGATACGTGGCTTTACATCAAACCCCATGACGCATGCATAGTGGTTATACTATGCACACATGTTATCGTTTTTTTCTCTCCAATTATCTAACGATTTGAAAATTTGTGAAATTTAGCTCACTATAAAATAGTACGAAAATGTCGGACCCCGTATCGAGCGTATATGAAATGCAGTCATATTTAACGTATTATCATGCTCTTCATTTGTAAATTTGGAAAATAAGCATATTTCATGATGTGGATAGGCTTTTTATATCTTACTCAATCTTCGTGTATGATGTAGGATGATCGAGATCTAAACCTCCTGCAATATACGATAAGAGTGTACACCAAGATGTACGACAAGTCGAATAGTGACGCCCTCTTTCCGAAGATACCGGATCCCAAGCTGATGAAAATATATTCAGAGGTACGATCTTCTGAATGAGGTGAAGAGTGGTTGATCACTATTAAAGATCGTTACATAGGTTTTGGTATGATCGCCTGAAATAGGTGAATAGTGGTTGATGACTATCAAAGATCTTCATAGGTTTTGGTACGATCATCAGAAATAGGTGAATGTCGGTTGATAATTATCAAAGGTCGTTACATGAGGTTTTGTTACTATACGTTACGTACATGCGTGCATGCTTGCGTGCATGTATGTCTGTGCGTGTGTGCGCGTGTGCGATAGTTGTGGTGATGATTTTTCTATGCTTGTGCTCTTCACAGATATCTTTGCACGATATTCACGGAGAGATCACCGTGTTACGCACGGGGCTGTACTGCACGCATAAGCAAGTATATAAGGTGTGCGCCGAGAGCGAGCCCCACCTTATGCAGCCGTTCAAGGACAAGATGGAACTGTTCCTCGAAATAGGTATTAGTGTAACTCCATCTCCACTTTAATTGTTGGGCTTTGTTCTAAGCCTGGGCTTATTCGCACGGAAATGCTGAATCATGGCAACGTGTATTTGCGTTTGTGCTTTCGAATGCACGTGCATGAGTACGTCTGCATGCGTGCGTGCCTGTATGCGTGGCTATTTAAGTGCGTGCGTGCTTGTGTACATACGTGGGTGCGTGCGTGCCTTCGTGCACCTATTTGATGGCGTGCGTGCCTACGTGATTGCGTGCGTGCGTATGGATTTTAAATGGGTTTATGCCGGGATACGAAACGTTGCAGTAAGTCATAAAACTATCGGCATTTATATGTATCAGCTTCTAACCCCCCCCCCAAAAAAAAATCCCATTGATACATGCGAAAATACACACGTGAGCCACGTGAACCACTTGCGCAATTCTTTTCTTTCGCAATTATTTAAAGTTCGGAGTAGAATCAAAACAATATGGAGATACGGGGAGTCTCGTATCATATCAACCCAAGCCTAACTATTATCTTGACTTAATTCTTTATTACTCATACCACTTTATTACTTATATACTTATACTTATATTATACCTATATTAATATATCTATATACTTACATACCTATATTATTATACTTCTTTATTACTTATTACCTAATCTTCACTTATTTCCTTCTCTTTACTTAATTCCATCAGCTGAAGACACGGCAAACTTCATCCAACACAAACTCGAAGTGACGACGGCTATTTTCAAGAACACTGCCGCGTACATGATGTTCAAAGTCAACGGCGAGGATGTGATGCCACACGATTTCTTCGGTACCTGGGCAAGCTTCTGTGAAGACTGCATACACTACTGGAAACAGGAGAGAAGAGAGCAGGCGCGAGAAGCTTTCGAGCGAAGCCACGTAATGAGAAAGGTGAGGATTAAGGATAGTTTGGGACCCCGCAAATGTGTTTTCGCATACTATGTGCTAAACGAATCCGGGGTGTTAAACTAGCCTTGGGCCAAAGGTGCATGAGACCACGTAAATGAGAAGATGTAAAAGATTAACCGGTAATTTGATTTCATTTTAGTTCATGCTTACGGTAAGACGGTAATCGCAAACTCGACAGGATTTTATGCGAAATCATGCGAGAAATATTGAAATAGATATTAAGAAATCTGGTTCTAATCTAAGCACAGAATATCAAGCAATGCGATATCATAATAACGATTACGATAAAAATAAATACACGCCAAATTAATTGTTCCATACTAATTATTTCCCACGGCGGGGCTCCCCATCGCAGAAGTCGCTGTTTTATTTCAGTCATAGACGTAGTATAGAGTAGTCATTACTTTCATCGTGTAAGCGGCTATACAGAAACTAATCCTTGCTCCACACACTCACATTTTTTTCAGAGGCGGAAAGTTGGTGTTTATTTCAGTTTATTTCAGTTGGTGTTTTATTTCAGTCATAGACGTAGTCATTTCTAGCATCGTGTATATTGCGTGTATATATATATATATGCTAATCCTCACTGCACACACTCACGTTTCTTTCAGAAGCGGAAAGGAATTCTACGATCTAAACCTTGCGCCATCGACGACTACGGCGGCTTCCCGTACAACGAACCGCGGTCGGACTCGCCGAACCTCGCCGACGCAGACGACGTCTCTGCCGACGACGCGAGACCGCTCGGCACGTGGACGCCGACGCCGCATCGGCCGCCGGCCGAGAGAGACGTCGGCCACCACACGCTGCCGACGTACAAGCCGAAGAAGCCGCCTCGGCTAGCGATACGCGAATACGAGAACGACGAGTTCGTGCGAGCCGAGACGCAGTACGACAAAGTGCAATACCACCGCGGCGCGGCGGCGGCGGTGGACGATGACGATGGCACTAACGGATACGGTCGGCACGACGCCGTACCGGACGTGACGTACCACGCGAGCAGGCGCTACGCGGATCCGGCCGAGGCTCCGCCGCGGAGGTACCAGGCGACGGATGAGGTCATCTACGAAGAGCCGGGAATCGTCCGCCAGCCGGAGTCACAGGTCGTCGACCATTACTATTCGACCCCTGTGCACGTGCTCGGCGACGCGAGCCCGCTGAGAAAGAGCGAGGACAATACGAGCGACTACTACAGCCTAGAGAAGTCGAAGCCTTATCCCGTCGTGACGAGAGATAGCTTTATACAGGCCAGCCCCAGCTCGCACGAGAGCAGCATGAGCGATACAAGCACGACAGACAGAGAGCAGTACAACACCATCGCGCGGACGCCGCACGATGGCAGGCGCAACGGCGAACAACAACAACAACAACAACAACAACAACAACAACAACAACAACAACAACAGCTACTACTACACTTGCCTCAATATTACGCCTCATCGTCGGGGAAACTAGTACTTGTACTATATCTAGAACTAATAATAAAGAGAGGGAATTCGTCACGAAAAACCTGTTGTGAATTTTGCTGTAGAAGGTGCCCCGCGAGTATTTGTTGTGCTCAGTAATGGTTTAAATGCAGCATAGAGCGTTTTCCCAAGGACTGTATCGCACAACTAGTGGTGTATAGTCTCCGGACTTAATGCATTCCAGCCTGCAGGCTTTAATTAGCAGAGCAAAGAGGATTAACTTGATTTTTTAGTCGGGTCGGACTTTCCGAAAAGCTGCGCTTGGTATGAAGATCCCAGCATTTGCTCTCAAAGCACGATGCCTTATCAAAAGGATAAAGGCATATTATATGCGAGAGAAAGTGCGACGTGACCCAGAACCTACTAAAGCCGCTCTGCGTACTGTCGTAGGCCCGATGGAATCACGAATATTTCCGAGTTTGCTTTGCAATATAGAAGCTTTTCGTCTTTTTATTTCTCTTGGAATTCAACAAACTTTATGTTTAAAGTTAATATCGATTACGCCTAATATACAGACTTGTCGGAGAAAACGTGGTGTAACATGCAATAGCGTTATGATCGTATAGCTTCGTCAACGTCAATCTTTCGTTGGATTCGATTTCAAAGATAGGGTTTCTGATCAGACAATTAAGATCACCACAATGGATCAAATTGCTCAGAGGCACCTAGCAGCTATGGCGATTGTTCGATTTACGTAATGCCATTCAAGAATGGGGAAAAACGCGGCTTCTCTCAGTAGAAAACGACTTTCTAACTTTCAACTCTTAAAGCTTCGGGCAGTTCGTTGAAAGCCGAAATGTATGCATGTCTAGTTTGCCCACCGCACAAACCCGAGCAAACAACTCCTAGTCTCTCCTTTCACTCTTGTTGCCAACGCGACAGCAGAAGAATGCCGGCAAGCCCCTAAAATTCCTTTTGACCACGCGAAAGACGTCGCTGAAAGTGGTAAATCTGACATGAAACACATGATCTTACTAAGAAATTCGTCATGGATGATATTGTTATTTAATTCTTTCCTAAAAATTAATGATTCTAACTGGTGTTTTATACATGATTATCATCGTCATCGTGACGATCGTTTATTGTTTACATCGCCATGGTTTCCGCCTTAATAACTAAATCTTGTGTCGCCTATATCATGATGTTTCGCTACATAACAATTAAGAATTAATTCATTACGAGTTTAAGAATAAAGTAACAGAGCCCTGTGTGACAATAAAATCAAGGGCGTACACTGTTTAGAAAGATTTTGTGGGGGTGACCGCCATGTCGTAAAGATAAGCGACGGTCTGTCATTACCACGAGTGACAAGTTACGAGTGCCGTAGTATACACGGGAGAGGGATGTTGACTGAGCAATAATTGCAGTACTACTGTATTCCGAGCGACCTGCAGGAGATGAACTAACGCTCTATCACAAAGCCTCGCGCGCGCCTCTGAAAAAATATATCACGCCTCCACTTCCCTTACCACACCCGCCCACGCATACTGGCAGTGATACTGCGTCATAGATTTGGACTCCCTATACAAAAGCGAAAAAATTGAATGCGATACTTCACCGCTGCAGTAATTTGCGATCGCGTGTCCACTGATCGCGTAACTGAGCTGGCAAACATGTGATAACAATGAACTCACAGCCGCACAGCCATCTGATTGATCGTTGTTAACTCGTTGAACGCGAATATCGTAAAGGGACGCACCTGTCCGTAGTTTAAATAGTGTGTGTGTGTGTGTGTGTGTGTGTGTGTGTGTGTGTGTGTGTGTGTGTGTGTGTGTGTGTGTGCGCGCGTGTGTGTGTGTGTGTGTGTGACCATGTCGCATGATTGAATTCGATTTGTTCGAGGTAACTATTCCATGTCGTATAGAGTAATGCTACAGCCTGGAATGTCTCACGTCAGAAATTCCTACAACAACAACAACAACAACAACAACAGCAGCAGCAGCAACAACTACTACAACCGGACCCGTACGACAAACCCCCGCAACTTCCACCGAGAAGACCAAAGGTCTCGCCGCCCCCTCTGCCCTCGGTGCCGCCCCCGAAACCCCGTCGCAGCGTCCCGCCCGGTCACTACCAGTCGCCATACTCCCACGCCACACACGCCACGCAGGGCGGTTCTAGGCCTCCCAGACCGTACTCGTCGCTGGCTTATACTAACGCCTACACGCTCAAATCCGCTCCCGTGTCCGTGTGTCCGTCGCAAGTCGAGTTGGATCATAGTCATGAGCAGACGAACGGCGGTGCGTCCGATGGCGAGACGGGCCACGTCGGCATTAGCAGAGGGAGTCGAATGTACAGCAGCACGCACTCCGACACCGAGGTCCTGGCCCGCAGTCTACACCGTCAACAACAACAACAGCAACAACAACAACAACAACAACAACAACAACAGCAGCAACAACAACAACAACAACAACAACAGCAACAACAACAGCAGCAGCCGCATCCGCCAATCCGTAAGGAGACGTCACCGGCGCCCCCTGGCGAGCACAGCAGGCGCGAACCCTCTCCCAGCGCGCTGCGCAGGTCGGTGCAGTTCACGACCCGTCCGGAGATCATAGCGACGTCGACAGCCGCAAACTCGGCGAAGTCTCTCGACGACCTCAGAGGAGGCGTCGACTGGAGCGACAACAGTGCCGCGCACGAGCGATACGGTGCCGACAGCGGCGGCGAGATTCAGTCGGAGCGATCGCTTCGCGCGAGACAGGCCGCCGATCGGCTGTCTTCGATCATAGGACAGCGATTGCCGCCAGATGATGCTGACTCGCCGCTGTATTCGGCCGCGATCAAGAACAACATTCGCGAGTTTCTTTACAACGGGCTCGTCACCGGATCCGGCAAGGATTACTACTCGGATAGCGCATACTCGGACACGTCGGTCGTCGTCAACGCGCCGTCTGGCGGTGAGCGAACGCGACGAGCCCCGCCACGGCCACACTCCGCGTCCAGCCGCCGACTACCCCACGGCGACGACTACGAACTGATCTACCCGACCGACGACAACGACGACAGGGTCGCTGCGAGCGTAGCGAGAAACTTTTTCCGCGTGCTAGAGGAGAAGACGACGCCGACGACGACGACGACGACGAATGGCGCAAGCAGACCGGCTGTGCAGAACGACAGTAAGTCCGTGGCGCCATCTAGCGTAGCGGAACCAAAACAAACGGGAGACGTGCAGGCTGATTCGACTGACATTACGAGTCCGCGAGAAGCGCTCACGTATTTTAAAAATTTAGAGAAGCAGGCGACTTTGGAGAGATGTAGCAGCAAGAACAGCAATATAAGCCAAAACAGTACTAAACAGACAGAAGTAATTTATTTAGACGTGTGAACCTTTTCAGCGATTGGATCGCATGTAGTCTCTAATTACACGGTTTATTATCGCGGCAAACAAACACCTGTATAATAGTTATTCGAATGCATTTCTCGTTCATGCACTCTCCTGTATTCTATATTTCATGCATATTATAGTTATACGAAGGATGGGCAGTATTGCACCTAAAAATTGTATATAGTAGAGAAAGCAGGGATGTATCCTCGTCCCTACTCTCGACAGTAAATCAAACCGTGTTTGCTAGTATTAGAGCATTTATATAGCTGAAAGAAAACCCCCGCACATTTTAAGACTAATCAGAAGATCTTTTAATAACGTTTACAGTAATGTAATTTATTTACCTAATCGTCGTTGGCGGAACTGTGAGAAAATGATTACCAGAATTATAAGCTTTATTAACTAACGATAATACCACGAATTCGTAAAACGGCGAGGGCGTTTCCTAATCAATACTGAGCTTCAAATAACACAGAAGTATCAAAACTACAAACCCTATATGAGTTGTGACGTTGTAGTAAACTGGTTTTGTGATAACATGTGTCTTTTCTATTTGTTTTCATTCCATGTAGATTGTAGATAGAGCAAGGTGATCGATTTATTGCGTATATATTTACGTGTGTGTGTGCGTGTGTGTGTGTGTGTGTGTGTGCGTGTGTGGTGTGTGCGTGCGTGCGTGTGTGCGCGCGCGTGTGTGTGTGTGTGTGTGCGCGTGTGTGCAAGTGCATGCGATCGTTTAAAATCGATGAATTGATCGATGAAGTGCGCTAAGCGATGAAGACTGTTTCTAGACATGTTAGCAGAGGGTTTAAACAATTATATATACCTAGTAAAAAGTCCCGACGCTTCTGCTCGCCTATGCATAATAAATAGCATGCATCCACGGATAACAGTGAATGATTTTGCATACATAAAAATAACAATCGATCACAAATGCGAGACATACCGTATTATATTATCAACTCATTTATGAAAATCATAGTTTATTCGATTATAATGATAACGTGTAGAGAGGTAATTTATTTTTAGATAAATAACTAGAATGAAATATAAAAGCAAATACACTACAGAATTATATTCGTCGTTGCATCATGTTGAATATATTATTTTATGTTGTTCTACCGAGTTAATACATTTGTTGACGTTTTGCATTTCCCGTTTATATGTTTACAATCTTACAACATATTCAGTTGTAAATATGTTATTGTACCCAACTCACACACACGCACGCGCGCACTCACGCACACACTCAGGCACACCGATATCCGTACTGTGGATATATACCCATATTACCAGGAGCTAATAAAGACAAATTTGTCATTATTAGCTCCTGATATTACCTAAGTAGATATTGAAAGTACTGATAAACCTATGATTCAGCCATGAAACTTTTTAATAGATAGCCGAAACACTCGTCTTAAACCTTACTAATAATGCGCGAATTATGACCAAGTGTGTAGGTTTGCACAACTTTAACAGAACATGGTGCACGAACAAGAAAAAATAAATCTAACCGAAAAGAATGACGCCGTATACAAAGATGCGTGAGAACGTGTATAAAGTACATGAGGGCGAGTACGCCGTCCAGTTTAACAGTGCTACAGTATATGGTGAGATTAGGAAAAACTGGATGTCTTGTAATTTTCAAAGTGAGAGGTTGGGATAGAATCTATTCTACCCGTTGAACTACTGTGTGGTATGTCAGGGGAGGCACCGGATAGAAGTGAGGAGTAGGAAGAACTACAACTCTCCCTTCAGGGTATAATTGAGTAACTCTTCGGGCAACTATCAACGATACCATTTACAGTCGTTTTTCATCTGCACATCGCATCGCCTTTTGTAGTAACTGGCAATCAAGGCATCAGGACTAATGACTGATGTATGGGTACATATGATATATTAGCAATTATTTCCCGATAAAAAACGCTAACGAGGCCATTTTTACCCGTCTAATTTGGAAAAAATCGTATTTCCTAGTTTGAGATCTCTCCGTGGATTTCCCCCACCCTTCCCGGTGAGTGATCTTAGCTCCTACTCCCGTCAAGGGCATAGTTTGTCATACGTTAGTCGCATAGCTAGTTTAACATGGAAATGATTATATAGGATGTGCTGCCTGCCGTAAACCTAACAAAATATAAATGAGCCAATAGACGGTGATCTACGTACTGTATATACTATGTATACATTTGAACGTACTTCTGAACGTATACTTTTAAAACGGTGAGCAAATACACATTGCACTAGCTTTATATGAAAAAATACATTCTGTTGCCTCTCTTTAGGATTTATAGGGTGCCATGACTGACGTAACACTGGTGAAATGTGAGTCAGCCAATAGATGGCGGCAAGTGTATTACATGCCCTACGCACTGATCTCACAATAATGACACGATAAACAAAGTACATATATACAAATATAAAATTTCAAGCTCGTGCTCTCTATTTTAAAGGTGTATTAAAAAAAGAGTCTTTTGACAGATAGTGCACTTTCGCAAACACACATTTAACCATATGCTATAGTAAAATGAAATTCGGTGAGTATGAAGCATGCTGTAATTATATTAAAGTTATATTGAGCAAATCCACAGGTGGGGACAAATGTAATGTAGAAACCCCACAGAGTTCTATTGAGCAAGATAAAGATTTTGATCGCGAGGGAAATAAGAGCGACAGCAAGGGAATCAATCTCTTTATAGACATTCCTAATAGATATGACAACATTGTAGTCATTAGCAACCATATCATTAATTATTAATGATTGTTGATTGATAGAGGAGAGGTGTAATAAACAGTTAGATGTGACAACAATAAATAATCATAAGCAATTATAAGTAGAGGCAGATGGTAACAAGCCAAATCCAGAGGTGTTGCACAACCAATACGCAAAATTCCGAAGGCTCACTAATTAATTAAGGTAGAGCGCCTCCGATTGGGCGAGAGCGAGGGGAAGCCCATGCGTAGGTCGGAGTGAGAGGGAGAGAGAGAGAGAGAGAGAGAGAGAGAGAGAGAGAGAGAGAGAGAGAGATGAACCGAGAGGAGGAGAGAGAGACGAGGAAAGGGAGAGAGGGAGCGGAGAGAGAGAGAGAGAGAGAAAAGAGTGAGAGAGAGAGAGAGAGAGCGAGAGAGAGCGTGAGAGAGAGAGAGAGAGAGAGAGAGAGAGAGAGAGAGAGAGAGAGGACTTCCATATAAAGAAAGGTGACGAAAGAGACCCGGGATTCTGATTTTGGTTTTCGTGGGCGTCAGGCAGTCTTGGTCTTGGTCGACTCTGCAGGTAGCAGTAACGTATGTTGAAATATATATACAATAAAACTATCTATATCATAAACTACGTCTCCGATCATCACTGACGTGCCTCGCAGTCACCGTATAAACCACACTACACAAATGTTACTGAAAAATCTGAGTATATATTATAATGACAAATGAATAATTTGTACGGTTAAAAAAAATAAACCACACATAGGACAAGATTAGACTGAATGCCCAATTTTGTATTATTGTTATATAAAGGTTATTTATATTTATTTGTCACGTTTCTCACAAATATGTTTATCCAAAATCTAAAGGAGGCACATGCTCTATAACCAACCAACCAACCGGCCCCGAATTAAGGTAGTACAGCCCTAATAGTGGTTACTATAGCAACGCCAATCATGATTTGGCGGAGAATTGAAGTTCGAAATCATTGGGAGAGAAAATACAGGCGGTGGGCAGGGAACAATGCCGGCACTCAGATGATCGATATAGAGCATGGTTGTGAGGGGGCGCGGTGGTAGGTTAACGCCCTCGATCAACATAGTTACTGTTACCTTGTTTAGTTTCCACGCACCAAAACAGAGTGGCGGTGCGCGCGTGGCGGTTTACCTGCGCGGGTTCAATGCAGCAGAGCGTAAACGCAGCATCGACTAACGTGTGAGGAGCGAGCGACGAGAACGTGAAAGATAACAGGGAACGTTATGATAGTGTAAATTCACGCCTATTGCCAGCACCCGCATACGTGGTAAGCATTGCTTATGTATATATAGAGAGGTAAAACCACACGGAGACCCGTGTAGATGTGAAAATAAATGTAGACAAATACAATATGGTGTTACATTTTAAAATTTAACACCTTATTATATAAATATATATATATATATATATAATTAGAATATATAATAATATGTAATAGACCTGAAGATTCTATAAAGATGAACGCGCTTGTGCAAAACTAAATGTCTGATTATTCTTTTATATTGTATAATATTATATATACGTAGATATAATGTATCTGTAAGGAATCTTACATTGCTTTACAACCGAATTTATTATTAACTAAAATATTGGGGTCTATTTTAAATTCATGCGGCTATTGCGAATTCCGCGCACGATGTCACAATTGCGTGTTGCAGTGTCAACACCACAAGCGCTCAGGTGCGGCCCCACGCTAACGATCGTAGAGGTTATATATTGTCTGCGCTGTATATAATATATATTCTGTAACGGCGCCTTTTATTACAGCTAGAGAGACGCAACGCTGTTGTCCCCTAACCACTCTAGCGAATCAATAGCATGGGTCAAGGCGACGGTGAGGGACATGGCGAAGGTGCGGGCAGCGGCAAGGGACTGCCAGGAGTCATCTGGGCCATATTGTGGTTCCTCATCCTTTGGTTTGGGGGCTTGGTCGTCGGCTTCTTCTTCGCGTATTGGTACGTGCTGTTTCTCCCGTTCGTGCCCTGCTGTGGATGCGCGAAGGACGCCTCTGACATCCTGTTCAAGCTGATGCAGATTCCGCTCACCTGCTCGCAGAATATGATGTCACAGAAACCTATCTGCTAATTAGCTGCGCGCACGTATGTGTGCGGATGCGACGATGCGACCTATGACGTCATCCGGACGAGTAGGCCCCTACGCTTGACGAACAGCGGAGAAAACGCCCGTCAAATACCCTTCGCAGTCCCCGCACCGGAATTTCATTATTGAATTTCATTGCATCATCGCCGGCTTGACGCCATTTCTACAACGAATAAAGGGCAAGTGTTTTGCGATCTAACCTCCATTCGAGATTAAATGTGTGCGCAAGAGACTTTTCTACGATTGATTTGATGTGTCTTATGTGAATCATAGAAACCATCGCGGATTCTTATCGTCCTTCCTGAAAGACACGTGATATTTTCAATGCCGCAAACGTAGAGCGAAAGATTGTTTTAACATAAGAAATTCTCTATCTTTAATTAACACCTTTAATAATAAGTGAACGCGCGCAATGTTGCAACAGATCCCCGGTATGATAGCAGAATGTGGTTTCAAAACCCGTATATATATATCAGGAGTAGCTACATAGTATAGAAAATCAATTACTATTCTAAAATAAAAATCAACAACAGAAATTTATATTTTATGCATTTCGCGGAACCGTGCATGGTTTTAGATTATGGTTCACTTCTTGTATATTCGTTTCGTAACCGACTACTCACGTGTAGAAAAATGTTAGATTAGAAATGGTATAGGTTTATGATTAAAGCATGTGTTCGTTTTCTAACCACACAGATGTACAAAGCTACGTCCGTTTTCCATAGTGAATGCGTGATTAGGCTGCAGTTAGTGTCAGTGAGCATTACAAATGCATTTAGGTAATGAGCATTTCAGTAACGTGCCACCAAGTTTTAGTGCGGCGATAATCTATTATTAACTAGCTGCAATCTCAATTATATGTGGGTTGCCCACCTACGTCTCTCTGTCTGTGTGAGCGTGAGCTACATATAACGCCATATTGGTCTCGTGTCTGGTGGTATAATATTGCAACGCGTAAACGGTTTTGTCACTTAGTAAATAAATTTTGTTTTTCGAGCAGATGATGTCACTGACGATCAGCCGAGTAGGCGCCAGTTATTACAATGTATCTAATTGTTCTTGAGGCGTTCCTCAAGGAATGGCGTTATCGTGCGTATATATGTGTGTGCGCGTTGGTGTGTGCGCGCGTGCTCTCTCTCTCTTTCTCTTACTCGGGCTGTGCCCGTCTGCTTCTCTCTCTCTCTGTGTCTCTCTCTCACAATATATATAATATATAAAATATATTTGTCAGTATGTGCATGACAGTACTCTCTGTTTGTGTTTACACAGATGCACCACAGATATTGTGACATTACATGTAAAAATGATTGTATTGTACCAACATATAGCAGAAATAATTTGATATCCAGTATCTAGACAAGCCATAAAATATTTACAGCACCTACATAACAAGTAGGTCGCAATTGCCTACGGAAGCAATAAACTGTCTACATAAAATGTGAAAATATGTACATCTACTACATTGGGAGTATAAAGGAATCTCTATGTATTGAAACGAATTTCCAATCTATATCCACACAAGAAGTTTTGCAATCACAGGATCCAGCTCTAGTATAGTAACATTCGGTATTACGACCAAGATCATTACATTAATCTTTTAGTTGCGAATTGACTAGAATCTCTGAAACGAAACAACATCTAGAAAAGACATCATAATACCAGGAGTGTAATAATATAGAATGTGCACTACAATGCCATAGAATGTGCACTACAATGCCATAGAATGTGCACTACAATGTCATAGAATGTGCACTACAATGTCATAGAATGTGCACTACAATGCCATAAAATGTACACTATAATGTCATAGAATGTCACTACAGTGTCATAGAATGTCATAATATAGTTTTATCTATATTATGACACTCCTGATATTATAACAATAAATTACTCAATTTGACTTCGAATGACATGGAACAGTAAATATAGAGATTCACTAGCATATGTCAGAAATGGATCTTGTGTATGGACTATGTTTACTAACCGCGTGACACAACTCAATACAGTCACTATTTCATTATAGTTTAAAAATAATGACAAACAAGGACAAAGCATCAAGGTAAGAGTTAATAATGATGTATACTACACTATTCTATATACTACTACTATATAGTTCGAGCTCTCTCACACAACTCCCTAGCTAAGCCATATTCTCAGCAGCATTCACAGTTATACGCTTAAATAATTCAGATAGTACATTCTCCTTTAACATAATAACATTATGTAATGAAAATTTACACTTGGCAACTCCTGACACATGCTCACTTTATCACAATATACCTAATGCATATCAAGTAACACTATGCATGCTATTGGCTGCAGACAAAACATTCTCAAAGTCAAATACACATTAGTTCACAACATGGATATTGATTGTTCAACAAAACATGATTAGGAAAATCCTATAGTAAATCACTTTAGAAATAATCTACCTACTTATTTTAATCAAATTCACATGGTTTATAACAACTATTTAGTTTAAAACATGTTTTCAGTATTCCAATGGAATGTATTTACTAGTATTTCAGCAGGAGCGGCAGAATAAAAATTCAACAAGAAATATAACTCGCTTTCGGGAAGATCTATTTATCAAAAAAGACTAGCTGCACGGGTTGCTATAACGACCACTACTTTACTCATCCCACAGACAATTGATTTTCTGCTTCGAGTAATAACTCATCAGCCGACACTTCTTACAGGTTTTGATGCCACACCTGTAGCTCACCACCTTCTGCGACGAGTCCTTGCCGCGACAGTATTTTAGTCCGCACGGGTACCAGCTGATGCAGAGCTGATACTGGCACGTGCAGGGCTGCCACCAATCTGTCGTGTCCTTACACCGCTCCTGCACGCCTACACCACACTTGTGTGCCGCCTTCAACATTACTTTCGCATCCTTTGGCCCTCCAGCTGAAAGATAGAACATACACACACATGAGACTGATCAGCACTGACATACCAATCAGGATTAGTATAACTAAAGGGTTTCCCCAAGATTTTTTCCAGGTCATAGAAGATGCATAGTTGAAGGCCCCCAATACTTAAGCCACATACAATCTTTGTTCCTTGTACATTCTAATCCAGTGTTCATAGTAGTAAGACACATGTTGAAATAAGGACTTATAAGACCCTTTCTGGAGGCCAAAATAAGACTTTTTTACGCGATTTCTGATAGATCACCGACTATTAAACTACACTAATAATATTAATATACACAATTGCACAGCAGATCTAGTTATTCCGTATTATATATACAACAATTCTTACTCTAAGTCGAGAATTTCGCCGAAATTCAACACAGAAAATGTTGAAAAATGGTCCTTTGGCAAAAAATAAGGACTATTAAGTACTTTTCTAAGATTTCACCAAAAATAAGTACTAATAAGGGCCCTTATTTTATTTTTGGCAAAATAAGTACTTATAAGACTTTGGAAGACCCGCTACGAACCCTGTAATCAACAATTAGTGTGCAATTTCTTGTCGCAAACAACTTTTATTACCTTTCAGTCAATAACAAGGGATATATCATAAGCATAATAAATTTGTTAGCATCATTGGTAAAATATGGGCACAATGGCCGTTTGCCAATTTCTAGCACTTCTCAGTACCAAACAATAATAGCCAGGTTTTCCAGGACGTTCCAGGACCACAGACCATTTTCTAGAACTTTCCAAGCCTGGAAAACTCTATTCTCAAATTTCAGGATTTTCCAGTCCATATAAACCCTGATAATGTAGGTCTACTCATATACAAACTAATCAAGTATATTGTAATGTATGCAGTATTCAAGTGTTATGAAGAGTAAAGCTGGGTTTACACTACCAACTTTACGTTGGCGAATTGGCGAGTTGGACCAATTTCGCAATTCGGGAACTCCGAGTTGGCGAAAATAGAACATGTTCTAATCTCCCAACTAGTTGCTATCAATCGGTTGGTCACGCAACTTTTGCGTTTACACTGCCGATTGTCGGTTGTATAGTTGGGAAGTTGGTCCAATTCACCAATTCGCCAACACAAAGTCGGTAGTGTAAACCCAGCTTTAAATTCAGCAGCATGCAGAACACTGTAACGGGACAAACAAACGTACGTTTTGCCAACGCTTTAAGATCCGTTTCTCTTGCGAACGTTGTTTCTTTAGCATCATGGCACAGGACTGGCAAGTGTGGACTGATGACACTTGCCTGGCCTACATCTACACACAGGTCCAGGTCATGTTGCTCTGTTCCTTTATCTTCTTCTGCATTCCGGATGGTTCCCGGATTTTTCTAAAACCACATTCAATGCCAAGAAGACCAATTAGTTTAACTGGTTAATATATGTTTATTAACAACACTGATTTATAATGAAGTCTAAATCACGGTTTTAACAATCAAAGTGTAATGTTCAAACTAACCATGTGTTTCACAACTCTGCCTCTGTAAGTGTAACCCAAATATGAACAAGAGCCGCAGAGCGTCTGGGCTCATCTGAGGTCTGTTGCTACGATTATAAACGTAAAATTTCAGTCGTGCGTA